GCAAAGGCACCTTCATCTCACCTTCATTCCCACCTCCACGTGGTTCTTAGCTTGCTACGTAAAAGATGTCTGGGAGAGACTCCCAATGCTTAAAGCTGCCATGACCTCAGTGTATGGAGAAATCCTGATAATTGATTCAACTAAAAAAATACGAACTGGATAATCAAGGACATTCAATTTGGAGATACATGGGGTCCCTGAATGTGACAGACGGAGGAAATAGTTCTGGATCTAGGACATAGATATATGTCATCGCACAAAAAGAGGTAATGAAAGGCGCCCTTGACCTATAATAGTTCGTTTCAGCAATTATTATGGTCGAAATAAACTGTACAGAAATAGGACAACATTATGCAGAGCCAACATGAGACATTTTATCCAAGGTGCGAACAGGGTTTATGTAAATGAAAATTTAACCGCACTAAGGCCAAAACTCTTTAAAAAGGTCATAGATAGAGTAGAAAGTCATGAAAGCTGGAGATCCTGGACCTTGGACGGAAAAACAGCTCTGCCATTAATGTTAGCTGTAATGCGGACTTCTTTATTACAGATTCACTCCACTGCATAACAAGCAAATAATGAAATGAAATAAGCTAACACTACTTTAACAAACAAACAAAAAAAGAAAAAAAAAAGTTGTGGAGAAGGAGACAACCAAAAGCACCAATGCGCCATACTAGGGATGCCCCCACTAATTAACATATAAGAAAATTATATACAAATAGAAATATAAATGTTCTAGTTATCCTTAATAAAGCTTAACACATTTCTTTTAAAAGTTGCAATACTGTTTGATTCTCTAATATGATTGGGTAAACCATTCCATTCATCTACAACACAGTTAAAAAAACTATATTTAAAACCATCAGTTCTACTAAAATTTGGAACAAGGTCCTGTGTGTCATTTTTCCTCAAGTTATAACCTGCATTTCTGTCCTTACAAAATATGAGCTTATTTGAAATGTCAATATCATAATGTCCATTAACTACATTTAAAAAAATGCAACATCTCTAGTGAACCTCCTATTAGATAATGACAACAATTTTAGCTTAGATAGTCTGGTATCATAATCATCATCAGACCTAGTGATCCATCTGGTAGTTCTTCGCTGAACAGCCTCCAGTTTATCAATGTTACGTTTAGTATGAGGGTTCCAAGTTTCGCATGAATATTCTAATAAAGGTCTCACAAGACTACAATAAAGTGTGTTCACGGTATCAATATCCTTTAAGTCCCTACAAGTCCTCTTAACCAGCCCTAAAACCCTATTAGCCTTAGCAGTTTTTTTTTCTACGTGTTGGTTCCATGAAAGATTACTAGTAGTAAATAATCCTAAATCTTTATACACATCAACACTTTCCAAAGGTTGACCTTCAATATTATACTCCCCAACTAATGGTGACTTTTTCCTGGTTATTCGCATGATCTTACATTTCTTGGTATTAATTCTCATCTTATTTATCTTCCACCAATCTGAAATTTTGTCTATGTCACTTCGAAAAGTAGACAGATCTTCTTGAGCACTAATAACCCTATACATTTTACTGTCATCAGCATACAGAGCAATTGAATTGTCCTTACTAATTACCCCCGGTAAATCGTTGATCTAGACTATGAAAAATAATGGTCCCAACAAAGAACCTTGTGGGACACCAGAGGTTACGGTTAACCAGTCGGAAGCAACCTTAATTAAAATAGGTAACTTCGATCAGTTATGATTAAAATAAATCCTCCTAAAGTTCTATTTTCCCCTTTAACATTGATAAGTTAGTCGAAAATTTTCACTACATTAACAATTGTTTTCCTTTTTGCATCTTATTTGTAATTTTCATCGGCTATTGTTTTTTATTCCCTTTTGTATTGAAGTATGTCACAATTGCAGATTTTGTTACTGAATGTACGCGGCCTTTACAATACAGTAAAACGCAGGGCTATCTTCCTTTTGCCTTCAAGAAATGTTCTCAAACAAAGATGAGTCTGTGTGGCACACGGAATGGGGCGGCCAAATAATTTATTCTCACGGTTCAGAGCACTCCAGAGGTGTAAGTTTATTAGTGATGCAAACAGCTTTGGTTAAGAAGCAACAGCCATTGACATGAACGGGTTATACACCTATTTTAATTAAGGTTGCTCCCGTGAACAATGTTTCATAGCCTGCAATGCACCATGGTCAACCCTTTTGTAGCAGAAAGTTTAGTCTCGTTCACGTTCATTGAAATAATGGAGATTCTCACTTGTGAGAAGGCATTCAAAGGAGGAGCTTTCAAGTCAAATGGCTGCTAAAATTCTTAGGAATAAGCGAGCTGAAAAATTTCATTTTTAAAATCTCATACTACAAAATTGGAAGCCTCTTCTTTTTTAAATGAATAGGGTTTTACCGCCTCATTAAGCTGCGTTTTTGCATGGGCCAGAATGCTGGTTATTTCAATAAAGCAAATCAACCGGCCTATTCTTTTTTTTTTTTTCAGTTTCAAAAAAATTGCCTCAAACAAAATCAAACGCGTAATGTTAAGTTATTTATTGCTGTTCAACAAACGCCTTGAATTTGATTTTTTTTAACTCCATCCAAAATTCCCACGTGCGCGAGCTAGGCAAACTCGTTGAAAATTTGCAGCATTTGCATATTACCACAGAGAAAAACCTAACCTCAGACCACTGTCTTAAATTAAAAAGCCTAGAATAGTATTCAGTGTTTTGAATTACATTGTCTTAACGTTCTGCTGACGTAGCATAGAAGCGTCAGCACCGTTTGCTTTCCAGGTTCAAGCTCGTTGTGGGCACATAATTTATTTGACTTGCTACAATAATGCACCGAGGGCCGTGAAACGTGGATCATGCATCATTCTTCTCTGTCAAGCAACCTTAATTGAAATAGGTGTATACCTTTGCCCGTGTTAAATTAACTAACGAGGAGCTTAGGATAGCTAACATTTATGCTCTAACAGATTATCAGCTTCAAATGCCCTTTCTGAGAAAACGTACTCATCTCTTGATGTCAACAGCTTGCATATTTAAAGTCATTACGGTTTACGGTCGGAGATTGGAACACAATGCTTAATCGAATAGATAAGAAAGGTGGACGTCCATGGAAGGAAACAACCTATAGAGATGGTTTATTAGATCTAATGAAAGAGTTAAAACCTTGCTGACATCTATAGAATACTCCACCCAAACACTAAACACGTGAATTTAAAAGTCTTAACGTGAAGTCTAGAATAGACTAATTTAACATTTCAAAACAACTCATTAATGCTATACAGAGTTGAAACACACTGTTCAATCCCACCAGATCATAAGGCAGTTTTCTTCAGCTCAGAAATTGATCAAGCCTTCACACATGGACCCGGAACATGGAAATTCAACTACACTTTGTTGAAAGACCCTGAATGTATAAATCTGATACAAAACAACTATCCCTCTATTCAGGATAAATACAAAGAAACTGATGGCAAACAATTGTCTTACGAATTGCTAAAAATGGAAATGAGAAGTATGACAATTACCTACTAGAAAATGAAAAAAATAAATTCGAGTGACATTCAAACCAGCTTAGATGAACTAGACACCAAGGTCTGCAATAACGATTACCTAGATCATGATGACTAAGAGAGAAAGATGAAGCAATTAACAATAAAATATTCATCCATCCTTTCTTTCTTTCCTGTTATTTCATATTGACATCATACCTCCTGTATTATAGGTAACAAACAAGTTTCAAAGACTAGCAGCCAACACAGCTAGCTGGGCAACTAACATTGCGACCATCTCCATTACAGTATGGTGGGGCTTCCAAACTTTATGTAACAACATCCAACAACAAAAAAAGCAACGGTGTGCAAACAGGCGCACAATGTTGGGTGTTGTTAGCCAACAAAGTTGCATCTGTTTGCTCAGGGCTTTAAAATCATAAGCTTTCTTGGACGTCAAAAAGGACAAAACAACATGCCTTAAACAGTGTACTCCAGGGATTTGCATCTGCACGAGCAGGTCCTGACAATGTAAACTGATGTCTAAATAATTTTGAATTTGCTTTGCTAATGAACATACCCATAAATCCTTGAAACCTCATCATTCATGCTTTATACTTTTTAGCTACGTTTTTTCAATCAGGTATATATCTTTCTGCAATGATTGTGCTTGATAAACACAAGCACTTCTTAAAATCTTTGAGCATACACAGAGAAACAATATCCACAGACCATTCATTTTAGAAATAGCCTTTAATTTTTGAGAAATATGATAAAATAGAAATTTTTTTGACCAATTAATATATATGCTGCACTTAATTGTTTCCAGGCCATGGAATTTTCCTCGTTTCAACTTTTTAAATTTAGTATTACCGCATACCCATATTAACATGTATTTTGCGCAATATAAATATTAAATTATTATTATTTATTATTATACCCAAAAACAAAAGTAAAAACAAAAATTACCTCATACATGTAGACTTGTTTTCCAAGGTGACTAGAGCCATAAAAGAAAATATTTGGCTTGAGGTACCCACACCATTACTAAGAGCTAAATGTTTTTTGTCTGACCAAGAAGTATAACACTTTTCAATATCAGCAAATCCCTAAGGTAGATTTATGTCTCGGTATAACTCTAGTGAATGTGCCCAAGCTCCATTATATCCTTGGAGTTCAGTGACTCTGTTGCAGGCTGTGGCTTCCCAGTTTCTGTGGTTTTCCAGTAATCCTGGTATAAGTAAGGAAAACCCTTCACACAAGTTCACTGTTCAGAAGTATCTCCTGCCAGCAAACAATATCCTGCCAAACAACTATGAGGAATCATACGCGCAGTTATCAAACCTTTTCCTATAAATACTATTTCATTTCATGCTTGTCTTCATGACAGTGTTTTATTTACAGGCGCAAACAGCTACCAGTACAGCTGCGTCAATAAATGCCCAAGTGTGGGTCCAAGTCGTACGCGAGTAAGAACATTCCTAGTAAGCACTTTTTGTATTTAATGCTTGGCCCACGTTTTGCTCGTTTTTATGGGACAGCCCCCACGCCCAAGCAGTCCAGCAACCACCAACTGGTCTCATGGCAGACATAGGTGTCCAGCAATCCCCAGTTTGGCAAACCTGTTGTGCTGGACAACCAACAGTATTCCTTCAGTGGCGCCTATAATCCTGGCTATGTTAAATTTACATAGGCAGATCCAGTACTTGTTTGGTAGATTGCTACTTGTTGAAATAGTTCCAGGTGATTATTTCATTTGAGTTCTCCGATACTTATAGTAAGTTTACAGTGTATAAGGAAGATTTAAATTCAAAGTTAATCAACAAAATGAGATATTTGTATTCCTCAAATTAACACATTTTAGCTCAGCGTCAACCTAATCATTGGATTCTATCAGACAATTTGTTTGAACAAAAATATTTTCATCATAATAGTTATCTTCTTTATATCAACTCATCATTTCCATGCCAGAGGAGTCATGGAATTGAACATTACAGTCGGTCACATTTTCTTTCATTTTCTTTGCTGCCTGGTAATGGCTCAGAAGGGCCTGAAACTCTCCTACCTTGAAGCCCTTGTTGTCGAGATTTTGAGTTTGACTGTCAAGGAGCTATTTGATTCCTACAAACAGGCACCATTTACCTTGAAAATAGATGTACTTTCTAATGTTTTAGATCACCCTGGTGTGGGTAAAGTGTTCAACCTCATGGGGTCTGGTGCTAAGGGATTTAAGTGGTGTGAAATAAAAGATAAGTGTCACCTAGGATAATCGTGCTGTCAAAGTTCCAGAGAAAAGTGGTTTTGAAGTATTTTATTGTATAATAATTATGCATAACTATGTAGTCTCATTTCTGAAAATACAGCTTGGTCATAGCGTTAAAAAACCCGCATATAAACAGCGTCATACAGTGAGCAATTTTATACCAGAAATTCCAAAAGTGGTCTGGATTGACAAAAGTGCACATTTGAACGTATTCCCATTACCCTAATTATTCATAAATTAGGGCTGAGGAAACAAAGGAAAGTGAGAATCAAAATAACCATATTAACCCGTGTATAATCCTTTATGGCTTCTGGGGACTAACTGGTGACAACCATCAATGCTGGACCACTTTACTGTTAAAGTCGGCGATGGAGAAGAAGGGTCTAACGCCAGCTTTCAAGCAGTGTAAGATAGGCTCATACGCCAGGGCAATACTATCAAATTCACTCCACCAAAATCCCCGACCTGTAGCCATCTTGTTTATGCCCACCTGCAATAAATTTGACACGACGTCCATTTACAGGCAATAGAGACCTTAAGCTACGAAGACGGGAAGATCTAGGACCACCACCAGAAGTGAATTTGACCTTTTACACATGCGCACGAGTACCTACCACCCAGCCCATTGTTGTCCTGGTCTCGCAGAGGACGCCATATCTGGCCTTTTGCTGTCCTGTCGAGAACATGAGTATTCTTATTATTTTGATTCATAAAATAGCAGAAGGCAGAAGGCAGAAGCAACATTTTTTTGAGGTTTGGAAAAAGCACTTCATGAATGTGACATTTGTCGTGACTTCAAGCTATCAACTGATAATTGCTGTGTAGAAAAAAGTATGTAAAAATGTGTTTGTTTTCGTCTCAGTGTCTGATCATCATGAGTGTTTTAGCTAAGAAGATCCATTCTCCGTGAGCATTGTTCAACGAAAAAAATATGATAGTATCAGTAGGTCTTAAACTCAGTTGCCAGCAACTAATTATTTCTTCTTTCATACATCTGTTCATGACACAAAGGGGATTGTCTGTTGGAGTTCACAACAGAAATAAAATTGGAAAGTACAAAAACCTAACCATACCTTTTTTTACATTTGTATTAGTTCTTCATTTATGTTTATTACTATCCCTATGGCTGCAAAATAGAAGGTGTAAACATTTAACCGGTTGGAACTTGGCTCTCAATTGTTATCCACGCAAGCTCAAAACATATGGCCTATCACAGAACAGTATAAGATTTCTAGCAAGCTACTTAATAAATTGATTTCAGAGCGTAAAGACTGGTGATGCCTACTCCAGCTGGCTATCACTTCATAAGGGCGTGTGTCAAGGGTCTGTTATCAAACACTTATTATTTAACATCTTCCTCAAAGATTTCCTACTCTTGCCGACCAACTCTAATATCAATTCGTATGCTGATGACACTCAACTCTTTCTCCATGGATTAAACCAATTACAATTCAGACTGCCCTGCAAAGTGACTTGACTCTAGCATCTGATTGGTTTCAGGCTAATGGTATGACAACTAATCCAAGAAAATGTCTCTCTATGTGGTTCGGAACTGACACTAATGATCTCTCGATCTGTTTCACTTAATGGCACTGTCATCGATATTGCCAATACGATGAGACTTCTTGGTGTCAGCATCGATAAAGATCTTAATTTCAACGTTCATGTTAAGGAGACCGTAAGGAAGGTTAGCCGCAAGTTGCAAGTTCTGAAACGTTATAAACACCTCATCCCTACTCATGCCAAGAAGAGGCTCTATCTGGCTTATTTTCTCCCATATTTAAGAGGGTCGTCTAATACTGTCAACTGGAGTCCAGTCTTATCCCCTTGCTTTCCATCGGAAAACCGGACGTTTAGTGGTACTGTTGTCTAAAATCCAGTGGTATCTCCATGAGTTCCATCGGAAAACCAGAAGTCTAGTGGGTTAAAGTCCTACCCAGTCCAACCAAGTCCATCGGATCCATTGCACACAAATAGATTCCGATGGAAAAGTAGTTTTTGCTATTTGTGAGAGACTTAAGAAAATTCTACTCATGTTGGATGAGGGGGTAGAAAGTTGTTCTGATGGAGTCCATCAGTGTTATTGGAAACTAATCAATTACGATGGAAAAGTAGATTTTTCTATTTGTGAGAGACTTAGAAAAAGTCCACACATGTTGGATGAGTGGGTAGAAAGTCGTTCTGATGGAGTCTATCAGATCCATTGGAAACGAATAGATTCCAATGGAAAGGGACAGTTTTTATTCGATGACTTGAAAAGCAAGTGTCATGGGTTGCCTTAACAACCAGTAACAGTGATTTGCGCAAATCGTGTGGAAGGGAGTTGATGCATTGATATCATGGAGGGTGTTGTTGAGAATTTCGACCATTCCTAGCAACTACTGTTTGTCTTCAAAAGCATTGGAGATATCTGTATTAAAATGTTAGGATTAGTGTCTGGGATGGAGAAATGTGTTTGGGGTGAAAGTGGATCACAAGAGGTGGACAAGCAAGATTGTATCAACAACAACAGTGTAAGTAGCAGCTTTGTGGCAGGAACACAAAATCTTTTTTACTTTCATCTATCATTGCTGAAGTCTGATAAGGAGTTATTTTGTGACTTCAATGACTTTACAGTAAAATGTGGCAAGCCAATAGCCTTTTTTACAGTTCCCAGCGCCATCTTGGAATAGTAACCGCGCAGACACCACATCGAGGCTCGCGTTGAGTCGTATTTTCGCACGTGGTGTGTTTATGAGAACAAATGACGCTTTCCCTTGCTTTTCTTCGCTGTTTTTGTCGTTTCTTTGATATTTGATTGGATTATGTCGTCTTCAAAGAAAAGAGGTAAACATTGTGCCGTTTTTGACTGTAACAACAGCTATTATAATGACGAAGGGCTCTTCGGTGGCTATCATTTCTTCAAATTCCCCACGAGCCCCAAGCGAAGAAATCGCTGGTGTAATCTCATTAAGAGGCAACATGGAAGAGATGGCTTTACCGTGACAAGTTCAACTGTAGTTTGCAATGAACATTTTAAGCAGGAGGACATTGTGACCTTATAGCAATAATGACATGCATATCACATTTCAGTGCAGGTGCCCTTACATTTTGCTCAATCTTTTTTTCTTTTATCTTATTTGCAAAACTTAATATAATGATAGGGCTATTGAGCTCATGAATAATGATTATTAACGATTATAAGTGCTTTGTTTTTTAGTGACTGTAGTATTTCGATAGCAATCGATGTTCTCCTTTTTTGTCCCGTCTCTTGTTTATCAAAGATAATCCTAGTGTTGTGTGAATAAATGGCTTGCAGTCAATAATGAGTTTCACTCAGGACACTGGACCCGAGCACTGTGTTATTGTTATCAATGTACATGTATTTTTATTATAATTATTTCATATTGTAAAAATTTACACCTTTCAATCAAAAGGTGCTGAGCCATCGCAGTTTTCATGGACCTCACAAAAAAAAACCCATAAAGCCCCTAGTAGTCATAGTGGCTACAAGAGGTCCTAGCCAATCAGAGCGCAGCAAAATTTTTCTCGACCAATCAGAATCGCGCATTTGGCCCATGTGACTTATTGACGTCACAAATGCCCATATTTGGGCATGATTTGACACGTGACCCCATGGAATAAAGAACACACGCACACAAGAGTTGAATCTGCATTCTTGACATAGTTTTAATGACCGCGTAAAGCCCTGGGTACAAGCGGGACGTGTGTGACGCCCTAATGACGTCACGCCCATTACAAATCTAATAGCAGATCGAGTTCATGTCCAATCCTCTCGTAGCCATAGGGATAGCTGGATCGGGTGGTTACCTCGATGACGCGCTTGTCAAACACCAACCCATACTGCTTCACGCGCGGAACCACTTGAATTTGTTTCTGTTCCAAATCTCGTTTGAAATAATAGGGGGTGGTGATGTTCAAATTTCGGCGGGAGTCCTGAGGCGAATCTAGTTCGGAAAGAATATTCTCTTTCATGGTGTGAAAATTAAGAATGGCCGACCCGCGGACGTTCAGGGTGAAACCGCGTACCTTGCACACTAGTTTGCCTCCACGGGTCTGGTACCCATAATTCTTGGCGCCCCCCGAAACAAACTCGGTGATGACGTCGCCATCTAATTCGTCGGTCATGTCCCCCAAAAAATCCCCGGTGGCAATGCTGGGTTGACCGGGACGCCACTTGTACACCACACTGTCTGTATCATAATAGAGGACTTGCTGTTGAAGGGTGTCCAGGGACTCGTAGAGCTTCAATCGAGCATGACAGGTGGTGAAAGCTGCTACGAAAATATTGGTCTTGGTACCTTTGACAGCATTGTCGTGGACACTGGTGTAAACGGCTTCCAAAATGTCGTCGGTGCAAAGGCGGAGGGTGCTGAGATCAAGGGCAGCATCGGAGATGAGATTGAACAAATGGGCGGGGTCTTTGACAGTGACAGTGGTGGGTTTGTTGATCCGCTCCCCGAATTTGCCCCAGAAACTGTTCAGCATGAGCTTGGCAGTGGCCTTGCGACCGGGATTTTTGGCAATGCTGGCAATGTCCAGTCGGATCCCTTCCTGTTCCTGGTAGCGAAGAATGTAGTCTCGTTTCTGCTCAAGGGTCTGACACCAACCGGGCCACCCCGCCGATTCTTGTTTCAACTTGAGCCAGGTGTTCACGTAATCAGCAAAAAGACCCGTTTGGCGTTGCTCGGGAGGGAAATGCCAGACTTCATGGATTTTGATCAGCGTGTACCCCTTTTCAACGGCTTTGACCAACTCGGGCGTGCACCAGGTGCCGCGTAGCGTGCGATCCGCATCGGAATGAGGGCAATAGCGGGTTCGGGTCAACATGGGTTGGGCCTGCTCGGTCTGGACACAAGCACGGCAGAGAGGAAACGTGAGCTTGTGGCCGCTGCGCACGGGCAAGACGGGATGGAACAGGCCAGCGGGGGGAAGAATATCGACGGTGGCTACACCAAAGTAGGACTCCAGGGACTGGTCGGCAGGCTGAGTGATGATCCGCGGAT